ATCTTTGCTACTTCTTTTCAATCACTTTCTTGAAATATAACCATAAACACTTCTAGAAATGAATTCAAATCATATAAGAATTACAAATCCTTTTCTATCAAAAGTACAAATTAAGAAAGAACACTTGTGGATAAAAGTGCACCTATAAATCTAACTTGACTAAATCCATTGGAATATTGGAAAGAATGCAAACTTAGATAGAACTTGATTTTTTGCAAAAAATTTCAAAATTTTGAACTTGTTCCATCAAAATGCTTGAATATACTAATCCTTATCTCTATCATACTTGTAGAAGAAAAAATTTTGAATTTGATTATAAGGTCAATTTATTTACTTCCTTCAATTGCTCAATTTCTTGATGTAGAGTTTGAACTTCTTTCATATTTGTAGGAATAGTACCTCCATCATTCATATTGGAAATACATGAGATTTTGACTCTTAGAATATTAACAAGGTCTTGAAGATTTGCAATAGTTACAAATCTATTCTCACTTTTGCTAAGAATAGTATTTATAATCATTTTTTATATAGATAACTCAAATAAATTCAAAAAGTTAAATTAAATGGAGGTAATCCACAACCTCTAATATCAAATGAAAATTTCCACAAAGATGGAAAATCTACTCTCTTTTTTTAAAAAAAATCAATGTTAAAAAACAAGATTATTTGTTTAAGGTAGGTAGTCTGCAACCTTCAAAATACAACAATAGAAGTCGGATAATTCACTCACTTCTAAAAGAAAATAGGAGTAGTAAGTTAGTACTCTTATCAAAATATCAAGGATATAAATCTTGAAGAAAGAAAACCTCAATACATTCTTGTATCACTCAAAAAGTCTAAAAAATCACTCAAAGATGATATAATATTAAATTAAAATAGCTATTATAAAAAACAAAAATACTAGATAGTCTTGAAACAAGGCTAAAGACTAAAAAGATATTGACAAGAGTGAAGAAGGCTTCACTCTTACCTCCATATATACTCTTAACTAAGAGCTACATGGCAATGTCCTATAGGACCTCTAAAACATGTAGACTTTGTAAGACATGTATCTTAACTTACAAGGCAAGTTTTCTATATGTATGCTACATAATTAGCTTATTTGGCAAGTTAACAATACATGGTTAACTTGTTGAGTAAGTTTCTAACCTACCAAGCAATTATAAATACATATAAAGTCAAAATAGCATCTATAAAGCTTCTATAAAGTTTTTCTAAAAAATATTATAAAATAAATTTACTTTTACCTATTTCTACTTAATCATATAAGTAAATATTTTAGTAAATATGTATGTCTATGATAATATGGTACAAATTGATGTGACCATATATAATTTTAAAACATTACATAGGCTTAAAACATATGAAAACTTAATTTGTTAGCAAATATGAAAACTTAATTTTTCTAACTTCAATAGGTTGTGTAGTTCTATAAGTATAAAAATCATATTTTTTAAAACTCTAAATGATAGTATTCTTCAATAATTTATGCCATAAAATTGTATATATATTATTTGAAGTCTTTTATAATTGTCTTATACAAGTACTTTTAAAAATCTCAAGTCCTTGATATATTTTTAAAAAATATATAATCTATTAGATTGTATTTAATCAAAAAATATTTTAAATATAAAATATTTTTTTAATTTTTATATTTTAGAAAAATATAAAATTTTAAATTTTAGAGTATATATATATATAATTATAATTATTATAATAACACTTAATAAATTTATGCATCTTTTTTATAAAAAAAAATATATATCTGTTTCTTTTATATAAGAATATCTACTCTTTTAATTTTAGAAAGTTTTTTAAATTCAAAGTTTATAAATGCTTCATATCATAAGAATCAATAAAGAAAAGAAAGAAAAAAAAAGGCCTTCATAAATATGCATTCAATCAATTCTAATATAACAAGTTTTCTTGTATTTATATAATATATGACATTTAAAAATATTTGCATATACAATCATCATATCACATTTTTAACAAATTTGATCTTTAAGCACTTCAATTTATTAGATTGCTTAATATATAGACTCAACTTATTTATGTTTATACACTTTATATAATTTAATAAGAAAAGATGAGATAATTTTAACTTCACATTATTATTGCATTTTAATAATTAAAAATAATAATAATTTATATATGACCTTAAATTGCAATATATATGCCATAATTTTAAATGATTCAATACATTTTATATTGTACCTATTGTGAAAAATTGGCTAATAATTTACCAATTTCATTCTATATTCTAATTCCATCAAAAACTTTTTCTAAAAATTCTTCAATCCTTGTCATGTAGCAAGTCATAATTACTTATAATTTCAAATTTATTCATATAATGATAACTTATCTATCATGCCTATAACAACACCTTTAGGATTTTCAATTTCATCTTTATAAGAAAGAAGACAATTTTATGTTTTTCAATATTCTTTGACCATATAATCTTTAAAATAAAAAAATAAAAAATAGATGCAATATCTGAACAAACAATCTTTTTATCATCACCAAGAACATCAAAATTAGATATTAATCTTTCCCAAATGTTATTTGAATTGTGACATATTAATACTCTTTTTAGTCTTCCAAGAACTTGCTTCCAAAAACAAAGTCTCTCTCTTCAAAGAAAAAATTAACAATTTTTCAAGTCAACGAATACCTCATTTATAAGGGTTTTTTTTTTTTTTTTTTTTTTTTTTTTGAATGCTCCATTACAAACCCAAATCTGGAACCCCCTTATTCTCGCATTGACGACGACGTCGTCCATATCCACTCAGTACATTAAGTACCTCCCATCTGAGTTCAGTTATCTCTTCTAGGCTCACCGTTTTAGGATTCCGAGGTTTTCTTGGTCGTCCTGTCATTTGTTCACTGATATGCCCGATTTGTGTTTAAAGGCAACATTGCCGAGCTCACCACACCTTCTCACTTCGGTGAGCTTGGATATGGTGACCTCCTCCTTCCCTGTTGCCTAAATATAATTCCTATCTCTACCCTTTACTCCGCTTGTGCGGCATAGTCGGGCCCTGGGACTCGACACCCCAGAGGAGAGGGACATTTGTTCACTGCATGCTTCTGTTTATTCTTTGTTTCGGTTGCGCAATGGGGTTTTTTGAAACGTTCGGTGGAGAGCATGCTCCGTGAAACATGAAACCCTCCTACTTATACTGAGTGCCTCCATTTGTTCTGTCCTGGGGCAAGTGACGAAATACTTTCATATGGGTAATTTGCGCCTGATGTCTGTGATGCGAACGATGTGATCTGATGCCTGGTATCGTGGAGTGCACTGAGATGTACTGCGAATCTGTAATTCCCATATGAACCCTTGCACTAGGTCTTTTGATCTCCATTGGATGGGATGTCCCGCCAACCTGCCACGAAGGGGGTAGCTTTTGCAGTGATCCCACTTCGACCGGGGTTAGGCGTATATTGATCTTCACCTCTTGATAGGAAGCCAGTTGTAATTTCCGTTGCAGTATGGCGCCATTTCAGGTGATAATATCCAATGTTCTTTGTTATGTGTGCTTTTTAACATACTCAATGACGACAATCTCCCAAGATAGGAAATGCCGTACGACATCCAAAGTCGAACTCTATGTAATTATTCATTACCTCTGTATCTGACGCGATTGTAGTGCAATACTGCCCTCATGTAGAAGGCTTGGTAGCTTGATAGGTGAATCAGAAGTTGACGAATGATTTGTCACGGGTTTCTGAGGGTTTCCGAGTTGGCCCCGCAATGATTGTTTCCCTACATACCATGCGCTCCTTTACCAGTACCTAGAGTAAGACTACACTTAATGGTTTAATGGCGGTTGCGCGAAATCACTGACCGTGGTTATACTGGATTCTTGGGCGCTTGTTGGTCTTTGTGAATCTGGGAAAGTGATGGGACATTATCAAACTGGATTGCTGTCACTTGCCCATGAAGTCATCAAAAATACTTGTACGTACGCCCTTTCTCAGGTTGTATAGAATGTCAAGCCACCAACTGAAAACACTTGTCATGAAATAGGGCACTCTAAAAACGTGCAAAATCACTCCACTGGAAGCATGAGTTGTCGATAACTCCATTTCTCTTGGAGTTGTGCATTTTAACTTCATCAATGCGCAGATGCTATCGACAGTGAAACCTTTCACTTTACATCAAACCTGCTTTTAATTCGGTCGGAGCGCAATGGAGACCCAGCTGGTGCCAGGTACTGGATGATCAGAAAACCCCAATGGCCCCACACTCCAGAATCCTTTAACAGACCCTTGACCATGTCTACATATTCTTAAACGATTTTTTATGTTTTTTTTATCGTTAAACCCGAAACCCGAAACCCCTCATACCAATATTAAAGAGACTCCCAACAATTGTTTGCTCGTCAGATAACTTCTCACAAAATCTGAGGCAGCTACCCGACATGTACGGGCGGATGAAGTAAAAGCGTGAGTGCTTGATGAGTATCTGTCATGCGTATTCGTTCAAATTCTGCTTCCTCTTCCCATGTCCTTGGATTATGTGATATGAGCTAAGCACGCATGGAAAAATAGGTTTATACAGGTATGTATGTCAAATTATGTGTACTATTGGACAGTTCCCAAAGTGCAATGCATTTTAGGTAAGTAGGCAAAATATTGCCATGAGAATGACAAGGTGTCCAAGAATACGTCATGGGCAAATGACACAAAAATTTATACAGTGATTGGTTTGAAACCCATGTTTACAAATTCCTAACAGGAAAAGAAGCTTCCAGAACATTTTGCTTCAAAGGATACTTGACACAGCTGAACAATGTTGTAGCAACAACCAAACCCTATGTATGAAAGTACCACAGGTGGTGATTGAACACTCAGGACATACCTCCCAGATCCTTGCCATAATTGATGCAGCCAACACAACAAAAGCATCCATAAATAAACAGAATTACATAGTCAACAAGTGTATGGAATCGCCAAATCACAGCATCAAATACCAATTTCAAGCTTGAGGACTGATAAGCATTCAAGACTAGATTTGACCCATTTAAAGTATTGGGTTCCTCCTTGATAAAGTTCACTTGACACATGCCACTGAGCCTGATCATATTTTGAAGCGCTCCTCAGGGCTGAAGAATAAGAAACCCACCCCAGAAAGTTACCTGAATTACTAGCAGGAATATACAGAGTGGCGTTAAGCCTGGTCTCAGACCAATACAGTGAGGGATCTCACGATTTGAAAGGAAAAAAGTAACACTTACATACAAAGGAATAGAAATTTCCATATATTTAAAAACCAAACGGTGGAAACCACCATAGTTTGAGACTAATACTGAGAAGAGCGTCCTAAGCTAGACGAAGCCGCTGATGAAGGGTAAATTGAAACACTTCAAAGGTCCAGATCGTGTGCCCAGTGCCGGATAGTGCTTGAGGGATAGAGGCTGATAGCCTTCAAAGGGGGCTGCGGATGGACCGTGACATATAGACAAATTGAACGAAGATCATGACTTACCATGATCACCTTGCCTTGCATCATCGTGTTCATCAGTTGACGTGTCCTTCCCAGATGCAATGCCGTACTCCTCAGGGGCAGGAGGAGAGGTAACCAGACCTTGTTCTTGTGCAGTGAGAAGAGAAGTCAGATCATGAGTCTGTGTGTTCGGAGGCACACCATCAAAAGATGATAGTATGCTTTCCTCATCTTTACTGCTAATAGGCGACTTTCCTTTTGTATCAAGCCTGTCGCGGGTAGGTGCAGATAAATTTTCAATGCTTCCTTCCTGTGAAGACCCCGAAGCGGTAGTAACATGAGTCTCTGTGTTCATGCTCCTCAATTGACGTTGCAGTTGTATAGCTGACTGCAACTGCTTCTGCATAACCTGAAAAAATAATAATAAAGGTCCACAGAATTGAGCACAATATTAATCTTAACTGCTATGCTAAGTTCAATCCATAGCACTAAACTATGCAACACCAAACTAGCACATACACAACACTGTCTACGAAAATATAAGTACCTCAATGTACTGCTCTATTTGACTCAGTTGAATCTGAAGCACTGATGGAGGGGTAGTATTCCTTGTGTTTGGTCCAGTTTGACGTTCTGAATCTCCATAAGTAGACGTAACTTGAGCACCTTGAGTTTGTTGCTGAAGAATAAAACCTGCCAAAGGAATGCATCCATACGCAGGCATCTGATAGCACTGTGCAGAAGTGTTTGCCCTCGGTGGTGCTGCAGTAGAGCCGCTTGGCCCAGCTTCATTACCAGAATTGTTACCTTGGGAGGCACCGGGAAAATTCCCCTGGGGAATCATCCGCATATATGCTGGATACCTGTCAGTAAAACAAATGGCATTGTAATCATGGAAATATTGAATAAATGACGAATGAAAAAAGAAAAAGAACATAAAGATAAAAACGTCGTCAGCATTTGCATGACACATTTAAACTCAGAGCATTGTGAAAGGGATCAAACTGCAGGGTCTCTGAAACACAATCATTGTAAATGGACTTTTAATACACGTAGACTCTATGACGACATCTGTTACAAGGATATTATTATAAAGAAATAAATAAATAGGTAAATAAAACTCGTTCATAGCAACTACTCTGCAACCTCTCTTATATATGGAATACGACTGACCCATCTAATCAGAGTTATAAATTTTAAATTACGTGCATTTCATGTCTAATCGTGCGTTCAGTAACTTGGTGTACGAGGATTGACAATCAGAAACTCCCCGCTGGTTTCTTAGATATCTAGAATAGCGAGACGTGACATACCATGCCACGTTACCAGGCTGCACAGCAAGACACGTGACTGCTGGGTGGGGCTGATTATTGGCAGATACAGAAGCTTGCATGTACAGTGGATGTCGCATGTAAGCCGCTGTACCAGTTCCTGGCCACTGAACTAGGCCTTGTGCTTGGAAAGGACGCCTATCAGGAGGAGCACCTTGCCCTGCACAGCACGTTTGAGGTGAGAAACTCTCAGGAGTATATGAAATCCAGAAGAGAAGGCCTGAAAGCCTGACGACAGAACGTATCTTGATAAACAGCACCAGACTGCACAAATTGGACTGACAGATATCCAACATCTCTATTATCTCTTAACATTGTCAAAACGTGAAACCAATTAAATTAAAAAACTGTTCAAGTGTTTACGTCCCATAACTCTAACACAACAGACCTCCACCTTGTGGTTGGTCTTGCTGAGGATCTTGTTGATGAGCTACTGGAGCATCCGCTGCATTTGCAGGGGCACTTTCAGAAGCAAAAACAGGCGCTCGACAGGTGGGACAAGTCTGCTGCCGCTCAAGCCAAGATCGTAAACAATGAACATGAAAAAAGTGTCCACACGGTAGCTTTTTGGCGGCAGACATCTCCTCTCGACATATTATGCACGTCGCATCACTGCTTTTCGAACAACAAAATTCGTCCAAAAGGAGTCAGCAGAGACATATAGATTTGACAAATTAATCCCAATATGCCTCGAGGCAAAATGAGAGGAAAAAGAAAAAAAAAAAGAAAAGAAAGGTGGCTTGCTTAGGCCCCAAAGAGCTTGACACTAGGGAGTTCAGTGGTAGATTACAACCAAACAAAGCGTTCAGACACTATAGCTAGTAAAATCAAACGCAAACACCATACCGTCCAAGTTCTTCCTCGGTCGCATCAGGGAATCGATCATTCATGTTGGAGGTAATTTTTCGGTATCGTATAAAATCAGCAACTCGAGCTTTAAAATTTCTAAAAGTCTCATAAAGCTCCCGCACGAGGTGCAGAGGAAGACCATAATGACTGCAACCACCAGTAGGGGACCAAAATCTGAGAAGGTTTTCCTTTAACTAACGCTAACTTATTAGACATGACAAAATGTAGTCGGCAACATGTCAAACTGTGAACACAGGACTAACTGCAGCAAACATCGTACAGATGATACCCTTGAGATAGATACTAGATCTTCCCCCGAAGGTAACATACAAATCAACCAGACATTGCAGGTTAAATCACAAGTCAAATAATATCATTGGAATAAAATTGACTTACATAAATATCACAAGAAAGAAGAACAAATATAGAGACAGATGCAGCAGGTCTCGCACAAGCTCTATGTAGAAGATGTATACAGCTTTATTGTCCCACTGGCCCTCCATCACCATGTCTCCCACCGATAGAACATATTTCAGGAAAGTTGCTATCGTAGATGTTGCCAAAATTACATACCTGCAAAACATTGCACCACATGAATACACAATCATGTCAAAACGAGTACTCACGCTCAAGCTCACAGACGTCTAGTTATAAGCTGTTATCGCTCTATCTAGTCCAAGGAAACCCATACCTGATTGAAGTGAGCGACACAAATTAGCACCTTCACCAAAGAGCTCTAAGAGACAATGATGATTCATGTTCTACTGACATCACATTATTGCATATGACCGCACATTAAGCAAAACACCTCAATAATCCTCATTATTCTCTTAAGCTTCAATAAGAGGAAATAATTAAGTACCTAATCACTAGAAACATTAACTGAGCGAAGAAATCTCAGCAAATTATACAATTCTGTGCACCAAAACTTCCACATCCTAAAGTGGTGATGAGCATTGACTGTCGACATGATGTTCAACAAACTCGCTCCCCTTCACTTTAAAACCGAAACACAAGACAAGCATCGATGTTCATGATTGAAGCAGTAAGACTACTTACTCAAATGCAAAAAAGAGGGATACCGATGCTTTTCGCGTGCGCAGAAGGTGCGAGACAGAGAATTGGAGAAATAAAAGGTCGAGAGATAGCAGAAATGCCATGAATGTGATTATTCGAAAATGTGAAAGTCTCGATACAGACGGAGTGGTTTCAATGTACTCCACTCGTGTTTGCGAAAGCCAATGAAAAGCCTTGATAAACAACAGTACAGTGATCATAGCCACAAAAATCACATTAAATTCCTCCCTGAAAATGGTCATGGCAAACAGAATTTCCATAACCTCACGCCACAATTGCTCATTTAAGCGCTCCACCTCCGCTTCCCGCAAGCTTCCAAGGAACAAGGTCTTAATCGCTTGCCAGATCATGCACATAACTACCAGAGCCATGTTGAGAAGAAGAACTAGGTTGATCTTCGAGGTTGCCAGATACAACATTGCGGGATAGAACTGCTCTCTACTCCTAAATGCATGAATAATGACGGCCACCGCGCCCCCAGCGCTAAGCGCGGCGTAACGCCCTAATTTCACCATATCAGCAATTCCTTCACTCTGCTTCAAAATTGCCAAGACGATCTTCCGGAATCCAAAAATTCCCTCACGCGTTGCCCAACCAAGTATCACTTGTCCACAGAATGCATCCCCAACGGAGAAAGGAACCCTAATCCACTAGCAATCAAATTCCCCTACCATAAGTTAAGAGATCCGTTTGATCCTCGCGAATTCACAATTGTTGCATTGCACACATCCACTCCTTATTTCTCATCTTCTCCGCATCTCCTAACTTCACACAGTTTCACATCGCCAAATTCAACCACCGCACGAAGTGGTATCTCTCTAACGCGCGAACCAAACCAAACCAAACCCCGCCAAATGCTCTCTCCCTTCAGCGAAACAACACCACTAAGCACGCCGACCTCAATCACACCTTCAATCAAACCCTTGCCATCACACGCAACACCACCAAGGCTTTCCATCCAACGCCATCACTGCATCGGAACAGCCTGCTTTCTCTACAGCTTCAACCCGAAGTCCCTTCGAAACAAACTCCAGACATCGGAAGCAAATAAACCTAGAGACGAAGCATGGAGGAAGCTCACAAGACGCTCTGTTCGCCACGTCACCACTCAACGATGCCCCACGGGTCTCGGCCAATCGGTGGCCAGGCACACTCGATTTGACCACTAGGGGCCAATGGGATGATAGCTCAACTAGGGTCCCTATTCACACCTGCAGATCAGCACAACCTGCGTTTAGTTTGATTGGAAAAAGTTACGCCCGTCCATCCATCCCTTTCATCATTCGTCGGTGCAAGTTATAGTTACGTCCAATACGGATGATGTCCCATTCTGAACACACCAGAGTTGAATGTGCTAGATTTTGTGTAAGTTGGTAGAATATTTGGACATAATTGCTTGGTGAATATTTTTGCATTTGTTTAAATTAAAAGATTGTGTTTTTGACGGTCTTTCTATGTTCAAGTTTATAATTATTGTTGACTGCATTATGATATGCAATCCTAATGAAACAATCGTATATGATAAAGAACTAAAGTTTGAATTACATATTTGAGATGTATCACTAACTTTGAAGTTTTGAGTTTATCATCGCTGTTATAAATTAAATGCACGAAAAATCTTTCATGTACTCTTGAAACATGTGTATGCATGATAGTTTAACCAATACAAGTATAAGTTTTATCTGAATAATCTATAGACTAAGGAAGTTTAAGGGAATAACCCTCAAGAGGTGACGAGGATCTCTAATTGGCTAAACTTGCAATCCGAGTATAATTGTTCTGTACCACTCAAGTATAAGTGAGATTTAATTGCTTGCTGAAATTGTTCTCTACTGGTCTTAGAAAAATGTGTGCAAAGGTTTAGAGCTGAAGGCAAACCTTGCAGCTGAGCACTTCGTGAAGCATACACCGTGCAGTAAAAAAGTTTTGTGCAAAATGAGTCTTCATGAATGCTAAAGGTTGATCAGCATCGTTGTTCGTTGCCCACATGTGAAAACACTTCAATGCAAACAGTGCAGACCTGAATAGTCGGTTCCCGAAGACAAACATGAAGGAATCTCCCAACTTGCGAGAGAGAGGTTTGAATTTCGAGACAATGTTACTAAATATTTCTCTATGTACATGCTAATATAGGTTCTTTAAAGATGAAATCCTCTCTGCCTTGACCTCATCTTTCTGAAGCTTCTCCTGTTGCTTATCCATGTTCAATAAAGCTCTTTCTATGGACTTCTCTTTACGCTGTTTCACAGCCTTGCGCTTTGGAGGCTCTTTCTTCTGGATCAGCCTGAAAAAAGCACATGGGTATGTTAACATTTGTGCATAAACAACTTCATACATGTCTAAATGGAAAGTGAAGACGATAATGGTTCTAGATTTTGGCGTGCAAGGGAATTTCTTAAGTAGCGAGACTATCCTGTAAGGTCCAGACTACTGTAGACTAGCACGCAGAAATCCACAGATGATTTATCCCAGATGTGTATTCGTACGCACGATCTGAAACGCATTAGAGCAATAACTTTTCTTTTTATTACTTTTTTTTAAAAGACTAAGTCTGAAACTTTCTTGAAACAAAAGAATCTCACACTTGCTTCACCTGAATGCTTTGATCCTCAATCGTATACTAAAAATAACTGAAACATGATAACAAGACAACTTTCCTTGCAAGCCATGATCATAGAGAATAAATGCAATTCGTCCTGAAGTGAATGTAGATAAGTTAGTGTGCTTTATGGCTCTCCCTCAAAATAATGTCACTAATGCTGTAAATTAAATGTTCGGGCGGGTACATAGGTACATACCCCTGAACTTGTAGACCATTGGACTTCGAGCCCTTCTTCTTTCTCTTCTTCTTCGACGAGAGTAAGTCCAATTCCGCACCAGTAATCTCGATAGCCTGGTCTCCAGTAGTGTCCATCGCTGTGATGCATACAAGCGACAATCAGAGACAATACAGAAAGAAAAAGAGGGGAAAAAAAACAGAGGAATAAAAGAAGGTCGTCTAGCTTGTTATGATCTTGTTCTTTGTAACAATATAAACAGCAATGGACAAAACATGGGAGCGAGGTGCAGAAATATTTTATTGAGCAAATATAATGGAATAAATCTTCCCAATACCAATGAATGATCATGAAACTAGGTGTACGAGGAACCAAAGAAACTAGATCTTATACCAACATAGATACTAAATCAAAGACATATAGTTTGCGCACCATGTCATTTAAGTGGATGTCAGTCAAGTCAAATACAAAATGTAAGAAACAAGCCATATATTATGTTTTCACAACCACGTTCAAAAATGGACGCATCAGACTTTGAGCAATATTCTATTTCAAATTCAATCGCTGCCACGACACTCCCACATACGCCAGGGACTACCAGTAGTAGCACATTCCGGAACAGATTCTTACACCACTGATAAAAGTACACGAAATCAAAGAAAAAATCTGAATCAGGCACTAACAAGAGGGAGCATCACAAAAATCTACGCAGCCCTACCTTCATCAACACCATTACCGTCCGGAACGATAGCTCTTGCAGCAACGGTAGGGGTGTCGTCCTCCATGGCGGCAACACCTCTTTGTTTCTTCCGATTCTTCGTCATCTTTGACTCAATACATCAATCCCCTCTCCAAGAATTTTGTTGCCAATTAAAATTGAACCCAACCTGTACAGAAGCATGAGGAGAAGACCGAAAAACAGTAGACGTTAGGAAATTCAACTTCACAAGCCCGATTGTGCACCGCCAGGTTTAGGGTTTAGTGGCACCGAATGAATGGGAAAATGAAGAATTCCATGTGGTCGATTGGGTTCATCCATTTAGTCAAAATGTAATCAGTCCAAGTAAGCGGTCATTGCGGAAGACAAATCTCAAAGTTGACCGAGAGCGAAAAGTTTCGAGCAAGGTTAGCTATTCACTCCAAAGTATGGCTGCTGCAGGATTCTCCAAACATCCTTGAACTGTTCGAAGTGAGCAGTGGGCTTGGATTTCGTTCCCTATCAATCGGAAACATTGTTAGTAAAGTAGGACTTGAGTTTGGTAGAATTCGTCCTTGTGGTCGCATGCAACGAAGAATATAAGCAAATCTACCACCTCGAATCTGGATACGATCTACATTTCCTATCCACTTATCTAGCTTTGAGTCCTGATTACGACAGCATTTGAGTAGTATTCTCTTCCCTGCTTCTCGGTTGCTGCGAGGTGTGGAAGCTTTTTCATTTCATTTGTTCCCACATTCAGTTCATGTCGTCTTTTCTTCCCTGAATCTGTTCTTCTCAATCCCTATTCACTCTGCTCCCCCTGATGCTATCTGTCTTCGCTAGGTTGTACACCACTCGGAACTGTTTTGATTCTATATAGGAACTGTTTTCTTGTGATACCCTTTCGAACTGAATTCCACGCTTGGTTGTGCTCTGATTGGTACTCTGTTTGGAACCCTGTACACGATTCTGCGTCGCATTGCACTTGGGCCTGGTGTAAGTTGCCGAATTGCGTGATGAGCTGTGGTTCGAGTTTGTACAGTGAGTGTGGCGGCTGGGGACTAATGCGATTTTAATTTATTTTTTTGGTTGCTAGTGAGACGCTGTGTGTGTTCTGAGTCGTTTGGTTGAGTTTTAGGTTGGTTCAGGGTGTTTAGCACTGGGATGTTACTTCAGTCGCGTTTAATGAGTGCGGACATTATTGTATCTGTGCAATTTTTGATGTTGTGCCGCATGGATGATCTTTGGTGTAGTTGTTGCGTGCAAAATTTGAAGTTCTCGGGACCTGTGATCCTCAGTTGTGGCTCTGCGTTGTGAAACATATCATTCCAAGTAGGGCAGAAAATTTATGTAACCCTAATGTAATGGAATGAATTTCATTGTTCAATACTTTGTACCGCTCCTCTTTGATTCGTTTAACGAGCCACATTGTTATTATGCAATTTGTAATCAGAACGTTTAGTGACTACAGGCAAGCAGAGTGATTCATCATCTATGCGAAGTTCTAAGACAGACTTCAGATTGACGATATATTTGGTCCAGGAGAAAGAAGATGGTTATGGCTAGGAATTGAGAGTGTCATGGAAGTAAACCCCCCTCCGATGCAATGAGTGTTTCACCACAAAAGCCCCCTGTCAGGTATCCTTTTGATCTCGCGGACCCTGCCTCTTTCATCAAATCACATAGAGATTTACGTAGTTTGGAATATGAATATGGCTTTGTAGGAGTTTCGTTAAGATCTTCTGTCTGAACCAACATTAATCATGTCAGTTGGTTCCTTTGTGGACTTCCTTCTTCTTATTTTCTTATTTTCTTATTTTCTTATTTTTTATGTGATAGGCATCTTATTGAGATTGTTGTGGACTAGAGAAATAGTTGATCGCAATTGCAATCAAAGCGTAAATGTTTTTCCAGGACAATTTTCCTGGCTCGCTTATGACGAGCTGCATTCTAGACTTAGCAGAATCAATACCGAAAGTTGTTAAAGAGAGTATGCTGATTAGGTTAATGGAGTTGCGATTTGTGTGTTCAAATAACTTGGCTAGGGCAGGAATTTGTGAAATCGAAACTTAGGCAATTAAGTACACTGTACGTGTTTTAAGTGCTTCGACTATGAGTAAGAGGTACTGGACTTGTGATCTGGTGCTCAATTCAGTCATTCGAAGAGACAACTCTAATCCTACAGGCCTCTTCCAAGTTCTATAGTTCTGGATTTGGTGATATTGGTCGTTATCGTCTCACAATCGATTGTGTCTATTTGTAAACGAGGATACCCGTATCATATGGATTGGGATTGGAGTTGACGACCTGGGTACGAGAGCTAGTCTCATATCGTGTCTAGAATTAGGGTTTCATTTGAGAGCACAAATCGGACTACATGTTCTTGTTTTTTACTCAACCTCTGCTCACTAGACATCATATCCGAGTCTGCCAAATTCGTCTATACTTTGTTTTCTGATCTTTTGGATTGTGCGATTTCTCTTCTGTGTGTGGGTGGTACAGCAACGTGACTTGTCGCTACTGGGCAACATCAGGGACTTGCTTTTTTGGTGATCAGTGCAACTTCGCTCACAATCCTGCTGACAGAGCTGCGACAGGCAAGTCTGGTCAGTTCCATAGCCCCCTCTTGTCAACTATGTGGTCATAGAACTGGAAATTGCTCGAAATTAAACCACCGATAATAGAAGTGTATAAATATCTGGCGAGATGTGGTTTATACCCATATGATTTAGCCATTAAGTATGCAGTAAACTTATCAGAATGATCATTTTTGTGCCATGTATTGGCTGGGATCCGACCAGGTTTCGTTTCTCAGAGATATATTTTGAGGAATTCTGATCACTTTAGAACTTTTCTTGAATGTTTGCACCATGTAACAGGTTATTGTTTCTTCTCAGTTCACTGCCTTGTGTATACGTCAATTTAATTGTGATACATACAAGATTATCATCGGAGCTGGGCACCTACTAGTTGGTGTTATGATGGCAGCAGCTAGAATGCTGGCGCTTTTGACAAAGCCTCTTTCTAACTTCCATTGGTTCCTGTGGATGTGCTGTAGTACCTAAGCGTGAAAAAGCCTGCAAGGAACTTCTTCTCACCGGTTATTGCAAGGTTCTTTCATTTCGAATTGACCTCTGTTTGTGGGACATGTGAAAATGATTGTAACAAACGAACTGAGATTATCAAGTCCTTGTTCAAAGCTATTAACAACTTGCTTATCACTTGCTGTATTCATCTTCTGTAATATTTATGATGACAATGTTTGGGTGATTAATTCTATGGTTGATGGTTCAGAACGAGAAAAATGGATGCGAGTACAACCATGAAATTCCAGGCGTAATTCGTGCAGGGTAATATCTCTCATTCTTATCCTTTCAATAAATCCTTTTAACCTGGAAATGAGCCTGAGCGCTTTTCGGTTATGCTTCTTGGAATCTAATTGTTGGCCAGACGTGGCTGGTTTATCTCTGGACGTCATCCTTTCGCGCGAACAGTGTTGTAAATCTCTCATTGAAGTCTTATCTTATTCCGAAATGGCAAGCTGAGTGTCATGGTTGAATATTCCTCTTGACTTAAAAGCATATTTCTGAGGCATTCACTTAATTGCATTCTGTGTATGACATTTGGAAGTGAGCAAGTGATGTTACTTCGATAAAAGATCGTATTGATTAGTTACATCTGCTCTTATGATCTCAGGTGGGTATTAATGATGTAGGATTAGCAGATCGATATGATTCCTGGTGGCAGTTACATGAACCAGAATATGGTTGTAATATAGTTATCTGATGCAGGCCTCCCGCGTCTTCAACAACCGCTGCCAATGTGTCAACCTCTGTAGTGTATTCATCTTGGTCTTCCACGGCATCGTCTTCCCTCAGCTCTGGGGCAGTTGGTAAAAATATCTTAACGAATCTAATCTGTACTGCTGGTAGATATAAAATTGAAGATCGACGACCTTACATTCATTCTTGAATGAGCGCCTTCTGACCAGCGTCATATTGACCTTCTGATCAAATTGACGGATTTTTCAATGTTTTTGATGCAATATGCTTTTCTGTATGATAGGTAGTTGAGAGCTGTTGAATATTGCTAGTCGCTTTTATATCCAACCTTTAAGGACAGTGTGATGTGGTTTTCTATATTCATGCAGCTGCAATAAGGAACCATAGGTTACCAGTTTCTGCTCCAGCATTTGTTCCTGCAGCTGTAGCAGCAGCCCAAAGGGCTTCTTTGAGTGCTTGGGGTGGTGTGACTCCTGGGAAATGTGTTGCGGTGACTTCACAAGCCACTTCGACAACCATTTCTACGACACAGAATGACAGCCTTAGTGTATCTTCAGGACAGACATCTGTGGTCGATACTCAAACAACCTCAGCTCCAGGATCGTTAGTAGAGGAAGCTGAAGTTAGTGGAAATCCAGATACAATCTCCAGTGGTATCTCTGTGAGCACCTCGCTCAGCTCATTTAGCAATTCTTTACTTAATGCACAGCCCTTCATTCCTAGCATTTCTTCTGCAATAAGCGGGAGTTTAAATGGCCCCTCACCCCCATATAGTGGTACTACTCAAGGAGCAAGTGTTGGGAGTGCAAATGCAACACCGTTTGTGCCATCAGGGGGTTCAGTTGCCTCCGCGGTTAGTGCTGTTCCCTTTGTGCCAAGATCAAGGCAGCACCTTGTGACTGGAGCGACAACGGGAGGTGGATCGTCGGGTATGGGTTGGGCCTTACAGCCGGTTAGCTCCTCCTTGATGGCGTTGGGAGGTCCTGCACCTCAACAACAGCTACAAATTAGGCAACATCAATTGTCACAGCTTCAACAGCAAATACAGCAACAAGTTGCTGCGCAAGCTCAGGTGCAAGCTCAGTTGCAAGCTCAGGTGCAAGCTCAGGCTCAAGCACAAGCTCACATGCTAGCTGCTGCAGCTCGTGGTATTAGTGGAAGTGTACTTAGCAATAACCAGTACATGGGAATGGACATGCCTACAGTTTTGCCTTCTTTTCGTTTGCCCGATGGGGATGATCCTGCGCTTGGCATGACAGCTATGTCTCCTCCAAATCCATCATTCTCGACCAGGTATGCATTTGGTCATTGTTTGCCATAGATACTACTGTGGCTTTAATTCAGATTGCGCCTATGAATGTTTTCATAAACAATCAGTTATAGAAACATTCTCCGATTCAAAATATTACAATGGGAATGTAACCATTACAGCATTGTTATGCTGTGACGGGATTAGATATTTCTCTTCCTGGTGAAGTTACAAGTAGGCTGCAGGTCTCGTTTTCCTTACAATTGTGGCGGTGGTCTGTCGTTTCCATTTTCTATCAGGGCACAACTACTGCAGCATATGCAAAACATGCAACTGCAGCAGCAGGTATTTGCACTTACTGTATGTGCTGCAATAGTACCTGAAGTTACGGAATAATTTTACAATCTATTCACTGACTTGTATTAACATTTTACGTTAATTTATGAAGTTCCACCTTCTCATTATATTATAGGGCTTACTTCGTGATTTTCTCCAAGTTGATTTATCTTTCTTTACTTTTTTGAGTTCAGCATCAAGCATTCTCTGGTCAGTCATCGCCCTATTCTCTACGTTCGCTTCAGAGAACCGGGGCTCAGACTCCTGAGAAGCAGCAGCAACTGTTGAATTCGCAATCTGAGGTGGTTCCCTCTGTTGTTCTCTTTCAGTGGTATTTTCTGCGTAATTTCTGGGTTATATTTTTTTTATTAGCATATTAAAGCTCTATTGACCCATCTGGTCTGATTAGGAAGTTGATTGACTGCAGCAACAATCTCAATCACCACCATATGCAATATGGCTGTCACAAAGTTTAGGCACTCATACCCCTGAGAAGTCGCAACCTCTCGCTTTAAAAGCGGATGCAGGTGGCTCTGTGTCATCTTCATTAGCACTCTCCAATGATAATCAAGTGCAAGAGCACGTGCTTCCCTCAACCCCTGAAAGACGAGAGTCTGATCAACTCTCTGTGCAATCCTTAGAACATATTGGTCCTCCACAGTCACCTCAACAAACAGGGCAGATTCAAAGTCCTCAGCAGCAGCCCACTGCTGTGTCTCAGTCATCAACAAAGCAACAGCAGCAGGTATTTTGTTTTGTGTCAGGATTATTTTTATAACACAATTAATTTTCGCATGTATTTCTTGAATTTTCGTCTTAAGAACATCTAAGAGAAGAGCTCTTGTTTTTACCGATAATAACCGTATAGTTAAACCACACTAGTCTCATCAAGTTGCTAATTTTGATTCCACTGTTAAAAACATTTCTGAGTCAGAGCTGTATGACCAGGCACAAATTCAGCACCAAATACAACTTCAGGCACTACAACAGCAACGAATGCGGCACAGAATGCAGCAGCAGCAACAACAACAACAACAACAACAACACTTTCAGCAGGTCTTTGATCTAGACTTCATGTGATCAATGTCAATAAAGTGTACCTTAATATAACTGTACTTTTTTAAAGAAGGCGTTTTTGTCTTTAAGAGATTCAGTTGGTGTTAACTCCACGTATTCAAGTAATTTCAGTGCTTAGTTGAAGGCTCTAAGCAAATGAATTTAGGGGGAGAAACTATAATGATCAATCTGAATCACCCTCGTATATATAAACCTAACGCTAGCGATAGAGTCGTGTGAAATCCTATTTGTTCCTCAATTTGAGACAGTTTTTGACAGGGTCAACGAGTTCTTACTGGCACTGGCTTAACCCAGCAAAGGTTGCCATCTGTAAGGTCACCTTCCCCAATCTCTGGGTCTTCTCCGGTTGCAGCTGCAACACATGGAGGAGCGACTTATTTCTTAGGTCCTGGCCAAGGCATCAGCAGCTTGTCACATGCATTTAGCTCACCTGTTGGACGCAATGAATCGCGTACTGCAAGGAGTCAGTTCCCAGCTGGCACTGTACCCTTCGGGTCACGGTTCCTTCCGGATCAGTTACGTGAGGAGCTTCGACGTCGTCACTCTTTGATCCATGCCCAGGTACATTACCAAACATAATCTTCGCCGACCTTGTCTGCCACATATTGGTTAGAGTCCTTGTGATTGGTTATGGATTACCGTAACGGTTACCCGAAGTCACGTTCATGAGATTATCTTTCGAAGTGTTTACGAGGAGTCTTTAGTGTATTCCAAATACAATTCTGTTCTTATGTGTATACTCGTAATACACTTCGAGTATGGTAATCATGCGTTTCTTTGAGAGCTAAGTGGTATCCCACCTGATTACACAGGTGGAATTTCTAATGCATAATTGGATTGACAGCTGGACCCTGAGCAAGATCTTGTTGACCTACCGGAGATGGTACAGCGATTCCATTCTTTATATCCCCTTGAAGATGTTAATCGTGAAGATGAAATTCCTAGCGCCTCATTTGGTGTAAGGACGATGCTTTTTAAAGGAATCTCTTCGTCAGATGGTCAAGCCTATGCCATTCGGCGGATTGACAGTCACCAGGTAATTACGTCACACTCTGACGCACAATGTTGGATTCAGACGGACTTTTCTTGTGCAAGCCTTCTTCTGCCATTATGACTGCTGCAAACATACTCGTTATGTTGAGCTCAACGTTCCGCATGTTGGCATTAGACGTCGATGTGTAGGTCTTTGTCGCACACTCGCATGCATGCATAGCTTGCATTTGGCTAGAAATGTTCTGAATAGAAACTTTTCCAGATCATTAAAACTACACTCGAGGCATTTTCTAGCTTATCAAGTAAGAACAGATAATAATTAACTTATATTGGTACATGAATGTGTTAAATCTTCCATTTTGGGATCCCAAGTGTGTTTTGCACGCCCTTCTACGTTATTATCTATGATGCCATTTGGCTTTTTACCTCTTTGCCAACGTCGGGGTATTTTCTTGCTTCTATGACATGCACAGTTTCAGTTGTGTGTATTGTTTAGGTGATACCCACGGCTGAGCTGGCTAATACAGCAGTTGAAGTTGTGGAACGTTGGGCACCTTTTGCTCGTCATCCTCACATTGTTGCAATTAGGGAGTCCTTTGTAAGTCGAGAAGTGGAGGATTCTGCAGCTTTGTTCTTTGTGCATGACTATTATCCTGCTGCCCTTACTCTTCAAGCAATTCACTTGCAACAGGAGCAACCAAGTGGTGTTGTACATTTGACGGTAAGTGAATTACTTTTTTAATATCGTTATCTTTCTCAATTTAGGTGCAAATAGTTTTACATGGTTGGTTGGGGATGATACGAGTGCTTACTGGAACCCAATAGCTGATGGCTTGAGAAGCTATCGTTTTAAGTAGTTGAATAGATCTTCCGTACAGAAAATAATTATTCTTTCTTTATCAGCTGAATCTTTGAATTTTTGCTCGTGTATGTGCCTGTTATATCCTTCTCTTCTAAATGCTGGCAATAAATTTGGTTTCAGGTGAATGAGGAACAGCTTTGGAGCTACATGGTGCAACTGGCGACTGTTCTTCGGGCTGTACATAGTGCTGGCCTATACTTCCGTCCTGGAGGTTTACATCCGTCAAAAGTTATCCTAACAAGCAAGGGTAGGATACGCGTATCTGGTGTTGGTATCCTTGACGTTCTTCATGGTGATCCATCCGATGATCCTCGGATGTTCCAAGTAAGTTCTTGCTGATGGATTTGCATTCCGTTGTGGGGTTTCTAAAGAAAATATCTGCATTGCATTTTTTGATTAGATCTTTGAGCTTCAATGTGTCACCTGGCATTGGAAATCATGACATTGTTTAACTTCATCCCAAGCATAAGTTAGCACTAATTTTGTTTAACTTCGGAATGTATTGACTTGCTCAATTACATTGTATCTATTATAGGTCTATTTTAATCAGTAATCATGATGGACGAACTGCTTGCATATTTGTTGCATTTCTCACGTTAGGTTATGTTTTCTTTTTTGGAATATTGCAGAGAGAAGATTTAGCAGGGTGTGGCCGTCTAATACTTGCACTCGCATGTGGGTCAACTGCTAATGCATCGTTGGAATTTATGGGATCTCATTATTCGGCTGACCTAGTTCGAATCACTCAGGCTTTGTTGGCCTCATCCCCTGAGAAGTCAGAGGGAGCGGGTATCTGCAGTATTCGGCAATTGTGCTCTGCTTTAGCAGATCGTATGTTCAATGAGGTATAAGTTTTTTTTGGGTCAGAATTCTTAATACTGTGCTATGGACTAATAGAAGCTCTTTGTCAACCTCTGCGTATCTTGCAATTACCGTATAGTAAAATACTTCACGCTTTAGTCATGAAGATAAGTGTGACTTCTCAGGTTTTTAAGGATACTGCATATTCAAACCTCACTTGATAAATTAAGTAAATTTTGGCAGGAACTGGTATTTTCTTGCACATGTTTGGGACAAGCTATTACTCGTTGAAGTGTTGGTGAATCAATACTCAAAATCAGACTGCTTTTTTGTTTGATGTATATGTACAGATTGAGAATGTTCATATGCAGAATGATGAAAACTTGAATGAACTGAGCAAAGAGACTGAGAATGGGCGTCTCTTACGCATCCTTGTCAAATTGGGAATGATAAATGAGCGGCCTGAGCATGACATGGATCCAGCGTGGTCTGAAATTGGTGACCGGTATCTGCTCAAGCTATTCCGGGATTCCGTCTTTCACCAGGTTATTTTGCCTCAACCCTGAGGATTTGCCTTTTTTATATTTTGATATTTTTTCCTACTCGTAAAACTGCTCCCTTCAGCATTTATATCATTGAAGTTCATCGTGAATATATGCTATTAATTCTAATCACTCGATTGCACCTTGTTGCAGACATCAGAGGAAGGGACACCAGTTATTGATTGGGGCCACGTTGTTGAATGTCTTAACAAGGTATATGGACTGGATCATCAATGAGGTTCAATTATACCTTGGAATCATTCAGCCTCAGTTTCATCGCACAAAAAAACCGTTTCATTTGCGCTTCAAATCCTACTTTTCTATTGCATGCATTTAAAAGACTCAACCTTGTGTCTTGAACAAAATCCTTCGCTTCCGTTTTCGATTACTCGATGATCACATTTAGTCAGCTATGCATGGAAAATTATGACCCATGCTACTTTTGCCGTTGATATGGACAGTTGGATGCCGGAGTCCCCGAGAAGTTAATTTTATTGAGTCGTGATGAGCGGTCAATGCTCATTGCGTCGTATGCTGACTTGAAGAGATGCCTCGAAAATGTCTACCAAGAACTTCTAGTAAGGGTATGCCTGTCCCTCACCCCAGTATTTCATCAGGGTTCTCCAGGTCACTTGTTCTCAGTTGCGTTTTTTTTAATATACTTTGAACTTAATAGTTTCACGGCTATGAACTCTTTTCAGTTAGAATATGTAAGTTTTCAAGGTCAGCCACATTCTAGTGTAAAACTCTATGGTATTGATAGGATTTGCAAAGCAGGTTCTATTTAAACAGTCTCTAGGAATCTGTTCAAGCTAAAATAAATACGTACTCAAAGTCATTCAAGAGACATCCACATTAGACGTCTTAGTTGCACCCTGTTACTCAGGTCGATAGGTGAACGGGAACGAAGCCTTCAATGATTTTGGTCAGAATGTGGTGGTCAGAGTAGCTTACTAACTGCTGCCTTGATGTTGGATTCGTTAGTTAACCGATCCTGTTCTTGCATTGTAGGCATCTGGAGACAAGGCAAGGCAAGCACCCCCTCAGAACATGCTTATGCAATCACCAGTTCGTCTTAGCCAGAGGCTACATGTAATCTGAGCGGCGCAGTTTACAGAGATTCATGGAGATTGGCAGCTCTTAGCTAGGCTTTGGTCAGTTCCTTCAGTTTAGGAAAATCTCTTGACAAAGTCCATCAGAGAGATAAATTGTATGAATTTGCACCCAGTAAAGGGGAGGTTCTGCCAAAGTCGACTTTGGAGAGTGTTTCATTGGTCGAGTTGTACATCTCTTTATGTAATTTAATTGTTCACCACTCAGGAAAGTCTTTGTAGTCCTTCAGGTTAATAAAAATAAAAATCTTTAAAACTAAAACTTTTAAAAATGGTCTCCTTAATTCTAAATGCTTGGTGAGAGATTATCGAGTGTTCTACATGCTTGCTTTTTGTAGAGATTTTTTACCTTCTACTATGCCTTGTGAGGTGATGAGTCCAAGTGCAAATACTTTGTTTAAAATTAATATTATGCATGTAGTAGTCAATTGCTTGGTATACCATTAAGGTCCAGGTCAAATCCAAGAGTCTATTTGTGTTATTATTATTTGTCTATTATAGAGAATATGATCTCTAACATCCTCATTAATATTTTGAAGTAATTTTGGAAAAGAGGGTTTTCTATTGAAGAAATACAACAAGCAAGACACAAGTAGAAATCAACAAGGTTGCACATAAGAGAAGTGTAGAATGAGATACCTTCCACTTCCAACATCCTTTACTTATAGGTAGTGGTTGCTAATCAATGAAGCAACTTCCATCTTTTTGATATCACATCCATTTTTACTTCATCCAACTAAATCCTAGGTTCTTTCTTAATCTAGCCGCCACCTACATCCTAGTTGTCACCTTAATTACCTCCCTTCACCTTTTTGCTGCCCTTTGACTATTAGCAACTTATTTAACGTAATACTTATTTATTTTATTATACCTATGGTAATACTTTTTATTTTAACACTTTCACTTTGCTATTGGTCAAAGGCTATTAGTCCTAATGCCTTTGTTAACTTTTGATGCCTATCCTTCACTAGTGCTTTTGTGAGCAAATCAACAAGCATGCCTTCCATTGCATAATACTTCATATCAATCACTCCCATTTCAATCTTCTCTCTTATGAAGTGATATTGAATATCAATGTGCTTGGTTCTTGAGTGATGCTTTGGATTCTTTGCAAAAACAAGACATCCTTGATTATCACACTTCATTGGAGTTGCTTCTATTTGCACAAATTCAATGTCTTCTAAAATTTGTCTTAGCCAAATTGCCTCCATTGCACCATGACTTCCTGCCATGTATTTTGCATCCATTGTAGACCTTCCAATTGTTGGCTGTCTCTTACAATTCCATGAGATTGTTCTCACTTCAACAATGAACACATATCCCGTTGTTGATTTTCTATCATTTACATCTCCAACCCAATCCGCATCACAATAACCGTATAATGCAACATTACTCCTTCTAAGACACAATTTGAAGTTTAAAGTGTCTTTTAAGTATCTCATGATCCTTTTGATGGTTGCCCAATGGATTGGTCTAGCCTTTGACATGTATTGACTCACAACACTTACCGCATATACAAGATCCATCCTTGTGCCAACCATTGCATACATGAATGAGCCTATTGTTGCCTTGTATGGAATACTTTTTATTTCATCTTCAACCTCAGCAAATTTCTCATTTGTGAGCTTCTTCAACTTCAAGTTGACTTCCAAAGTTGTTCCAATGGGCTTGCAATCCTCCATGTTGAATCGTTTCAACACTTCTTTAATATACTTTCTTTGGCTCATTGTAATCGTCTTGTTACTATGATCTCTTATAAATTCCACTCCTAAATAATAGTAGAGTTCTCTCAAGTCACTCATCTCATATTTTTCTTCTAACTTTGCCTTCAACCAATCCATCTTCTTTATGATGTTACTTATTATGATCAAATCATCAACATAGAGGATGAAAATCAATATAAATTCATTTGATTGTATCACATACAAAAAATTATCAGCCTCACTTCTTAGAAATTTCTCATTCAGAAATAATATATCAATATGTTGGTACCATGCCCTTGGTGATTGTTTTAATCCATAGAAGGATTTCTTCAACTTACAAACAAGGTGTTGTTTTCCATCTTCGACAAATCTTTGAGTTTGATCCATGTAGATGTCTTCTTCCAACTTTCCAATCAAGAAAGCCATCTTCACATCTATTTGATGCATCTCGAAGTCCATTGCTACCCCAATTGCCACAATGGTACTAATGGTGGTAAATTTGGCCATGGGAGCAAATGTCTCATTGAAATCAACACCAACAACTTGTAAATAGCGTTTGGCAATTAATCTTGCCTTGTAATTCTTAAGGTTTTCTTCCACTCCAAGCTTCTTCAGGAGTTTTTGATGTAAGTGCACTTGTAGGATATTTATTCCTTATATACACTGATATTACTATGGCTTCTGCCTAATACTCAAATCCAAGCTTTTATACATGTAATATATTCCTTGCTATCTCCACAATGGTGTGATTTGGTCTTTCAGCAACTCCATTTTGTTGTCAAGTATATGAAGTAGAGATTTATCTTACAATGCCTTGAATCTTGAAAAATTCATCAAAATGCTTTGACATGTACTCACCTCCATTATTCGTGCACAATATCTTGATATTATAATCACATTGCTTTTCTATAAGAGCCTTGAAGTCTTTAAATCTAAAAAAGCACTCATTCTTATATTTGATGATGTAAATCCACATCTTCCTTGAAAAAATCATCAATGAATGTAATAAAATATCGTGTTCTTCCTACTAATGGCATCCTCATAGGTCCACAAACATCCAAATGTATAATTTCCAACAACTTGCTGATACGCATTTCTACTCCACTTGAAAATGAGGCGCTTTATTGTTTGCCTTGAATACAACCTTTATAAGTAAGTGTATTGGCATTATGGCTAAATCGACCAAGATCCATGCCACTTACTATGGATTGGAGTTCCTTCATGCTCTTCGCATTTTAATGACCAAAGCGTCGATACCAAATGCCAAATTTATCTTGGTCAAGTAAAAACTCAGTAAATGTGGCTACTTCAACTCTATTCACCATCTTGCACTTGATGAAGTAAAGGTTGCTATTTCTAAAGCCCTTGGCAACATCATCTCTATCCAATGTCTCTATAAAGCACCCATTCTCATCAAATTGTACCTTATAACTATAAAAAATTAATTTACTCACTGAAAAGAGATTTTTCTTGATCTTGGGTAATCCAAGACATCCTTAAATCTAATCCACCTTGTTTGTTCTCTCAAAAAAATCTCTACTACAATGGAGCCTATTCCAATAGCTTGTACCATGCCATTGTCTCCCATAAAGACACTTATTGCTGAAATTTCTTCATAAGTGTCAAATGAATACTTGTATAGTGTCATGTGCTTAGTGGCACTTGAGTCAACAATCCACTTGGATATAGCAGCCATAGAGGTGCCTTCACTTGCTATGAATGCAAAATAATCTCCTCCAAATTTCTCTTGTACATTGTTGGTACTTTTTCTATCTTCTTTTTTGGCCTTATAGCAATTGTGTACAAAATGACTTGGTTTTCCACAAATAATGCAAGTTTTGATATTACCTTATTGGTATAAAAGGTTGTCCTTGCTTTGACATTAGTAGAGTGTTGAATCTTCACTTTGAGGATCTTTTTCTTTCCTCTTAGTCACTTGATAGGCAAGTCTTGCCATCACATAGTCCATTGTAAGTTCCTTCAACTTAATGGACTCCAATACCACAATGAGGTAGTTATAGGACTCGCGAAGACTCATCAACAAGGTCATGGCAATATCTTACAAGTGAAGAACATCTTCTTTGTAAAGATGATATTGAACAAGTTCTTGCTCTCATATATGTTGCAAAGAGTCTTCCATGCTTCTATTGGTTCTTTGCAAGAGATAAAGTGAGAAAAGTTGGCTTCATCTAAATTGGTGGCAATTATGCCAAAAGCCTTCTTTTTACATCTTTTGAAGTCTTTCTTCTCTTTAGCATCTATATGTATGCTTGTAGCCTCTTCACTTTCATCTACAATGTTCCAAAGGTCCAAAGATGCCAACAAAAGCTCCATTTTGACCTTCTAATGGTAGAAATTCTTTCTTCTAAACTTCTCAATCACTTTCAAACCTTCACTTTCACTAGATGCCATGTCTAAGAAGGGATTTATCAAAAAAAATATTAAGAAAATGAATCACTATGAGCTTGAAATCACCAAAACAATTTAATACTAGCAGAATCTTAGAATGCCACTTTACAAATAAGTGAGTGCTTTCTTACTCAAAACACTCTCAACTAAAGTTTTGAAGCTTCTAACAAGTATGTCTACTCTAATAAACTTGACTATCATGAACTTTCACTCTTTAGAATCAACTATTTCACTATATACATAAGGTAAGTGAAACAACATCAACGAAATAAAAGACACTATCAAGGTCTTTCTATAACATCTTAAACTATCAATCTTAAACCCTCAAAGCAATGTTAGAGATCTATAAGATCAAAGTTAGCACATCTTCATGCCCAAAATACAAGTTTTAATCTTAGAAACCTTAACATCAGCAAACACAATAAGATCTATTCCACACAAGTACAACCACAAGAGAATGACACTAACTTACTTGAATGGCACAAAAAAGTGTGAGTGGATCCATAACCTATTGAAAAAATATAACAAGCAAGAGACAAGTAAGTAGAAATTAGCAAGATTACACATAAGAGAAGTATGGAATGAGATACCTTCCACTTCCAATACCCTTTATTTATAGGTGGTGGTTACTAACCAATGAGGCAACTTCCATCTTTTTGATATTACGTCCATTTTTACTTCATCCAACTAAACCCTAGGTTCTTTCTTAACCTAGTCGCCACCTAAACCCTAGACGCCACCTCAGTTACTTCCCTTCACCCTTTTGTTGTCCTTTGACCATTATCAACTTACCTAAGGTAATACTTACTTATTTTATTATACCTATTGTAATACTTATTTACTTTAACATTTTTTTCTCTTCATTATCCTTTGCAATAAAGAAGCAACAAGGAGAGGAGGACAAAACCTTGTGCCTAAATGCCATTCTATGGATAATATTTTGAGGATAATAGTAATCCAAAGAATATTAGTGTTCAATATGTCTCTCTTTTAATATACTATAAACATTTCTTTTATCTTCACCATATAAGTGTTAATTCAATTATGTCTTTAATTTTCATTTGAATTGACAAGATTAGCATGGTATTAATACAAGCAAAAAAGACTTATGATTGTAAGTGTAGGTAAATAAATCATATTTAAAATGAACACAAAATGTGTATATATATATAATATCTTCAAAAATATATATGAACATAATAATTATTATATAACTTGTGATAGTTTAACTAATATATTAAGAATAATAATAAAGATATTTGAAAGCAAATTTATTAATAAAAAAAAAGGTATAAAAATTTTATTTATTTATGATGTATTATGGAAATGTTTATAAAATTTATTTATTTATGATGTATTATGGAAATGTTTCTAAAATTTATTTATATGTAACATGAAAACTAAAAATATATTAAAACATGGTTTCAATATATTAAAATAAATAAATAAATAAATAAAAATCTTAGTGTGAAAAACAATTCACAAAGTAAAAGTAATCTATTGGCTCCATTTTTAATACTAGATAGTGGGGATTTTAAATGAACGGTTAGGAAATATTTTTCAGTTTAAATTTTTCCAAAATTTTTTTTTTATTTTTTTTATGATAATGTTGATAAATCATAATAATTAAGTAAAACCCGTTCAAAACATTTTTTCCAGTTGCAAGTATCAGCAATCATTTGCTTTTACAGTACATCTACTTTTAATCTTCTGTAAATATGCAAATTCGGTAGAACATATGTGAAAATATTAATACAAATAAATAAATAGATATCCACCAAATTCTCAAAATATTAAAATCGTCGCATTGGATTAAAAATAACTCTTTCAATAACAGTATATGTCTTTCCCTCAAACCACATTTTAACGAACAGATAGTTTCATACATCCAACACCACCACCACGACGGAACTATCTGTTCATCCATCGGCACATCGATTAGGGTTTCGGGGCGAAACCCCAAAGGGAGGGTGGAATTCTACAAGAAGTCTTTTGTTTTTGATGCGTTTCCGAGAGAGACCGGCGTTGCCTCCTCGTGCTGCTGCTGCTCGACTTCGACGTCGTCCCTCGCTACGCCCGTCACCATGCCTCCCAAATTGGACCCCTCCCAGATTGTCGAGGTCTATGTGCGTGTCACTGGTACGCTTCTGCTCTTGCTCCACTCTATGCTTGTAGGCTTTCTTTTTCTTTAGGGTTTTTCCTGTTTTCCGCGAAGAGTGTTATGCGTTTGGTTCGATGTGGTGTATGCGCTGTTTGTACTGACTTTGAGTGGGTCGTTGTGTTTCGTTTTTCTCTTTTGCTAGCTACTTTTCTTTGGGTTTTGGTATTGTGTTTTCTCCAATGCTGCAACTGTTTTATTCGGGTTGGTGGAATTCCTTGAGGTTTTACGACAGTTTGCGACCAATGTAGACGGTTAAACATGTTCAATTTAGAGTGTGAGTCTTGATTTTCTGGGTTTTTTTGCACATGATTGTCACTCTTCATGGAGTGATATCGATCTGTTTCCGATCATGTGACTGATTGTGATGAATGTGAGGTTTACTTTGATTGGTCGCAAAACTTAAGTTCAAATGGGGTGACAGAATATTTTTGGTTCTGAATGTGCGCTTGGTTGCAGTTTGTATTCCTTGTACCTGCTCGTGGAACTGAAACTAAGTTGTGGTTGTTTTCATCCTTTGTGATAAACTCGAATGCTAAGAGTTGATGTCTGAATTATGATATGCGGAGGATTACGTTCAGTGTTTTCTGAATTATTCCAGTGATTGATACGTGATACTACAATTACTTAATTTGATCGCTGCGTTGCAGGAGGAGAGGTGGGTGCTGCCTCATCACTTGCACCTAAGATTGGACCCCTCGGTTTGTCTCCTAAGAAGGTCGGAGAAGATATTGCCAAGGAAACAGCGAGGGACTGGAAAGGTTTGAGAGTGACAGTCAAGCTCACAGTGCAGAACCGACAGGTATGCTCATATTGAGCGTTTATGTACCATTATGGTCACTTCGTTCAAGTTTTTTAGAGGAATAAGTCATGTATGAATAATTATTTTACGGGATTGAGCTGTCATCCCCTACCTCATGATTGTACTGAAATGTAACAGCAGTACCATCATCATGGAGATGTCTTGCTTTTCCTGCTTATCTGTCTCGAGCTAGCCTCTGACGGCTTGGTATTGCATTCAATTTCAGGCAAAGGTTGCTGTTGTGCCTAGTGCTGCTGCCCTGGTCATCAAGGCTCTGAAGGAGCCTGAGCGTGACAGGAAGAAAGTCAAGAACATTAAGCACAATGGCAATATCTCCCTCGATGATGTGATCGAAATCGCAAAGATCATGGCTCCTAGGTCAATGGCCAAGGAATTGGCAGGCACTGTGAAGGAAATTTTGGGTACATGTGTCTCTGTAGGCTGCACTGTTGACCACAAAGATCCTAAGGACCTTCAATCAGAGATTGACGATGGTGAGGTTGAAATTGCGGATTCTTAAGACCTTAAATCCTTGTATTTGAGAAAATCTTACAAATGTAAGCATGCTTTGCACAAATCCTGGTTTTGTAAAATGTGTCACCTTGCACTGTTGGCGTGTAAATAGTGCCATGTCAGCATTCGGATACCACTAATTTGCAAACTTTGGTTTATTTTCACACACTATTTCTGATCTTAACCCTTTTTTATTACATCTTTTCATTTGGCTGACACTCAAAAATGGGCAAGTTTAGTATCTTGTTTTTACCTGGACTGAACTAAATTTATGATTCGCTAGTGTAATCTATATTGGCGAAGTTAATTGACTGATTGTACGATTTAATCTTGTCTGAAATAGCTTGATTCTGTAATCCGAGTTATTGGGAGCCCTGATTATAGCAAGAATAGTTGCAGGGAAGCATAACTTTTTGTCAACGGTATCTCTAATTCTAGGCATTCGTAGAATCAAATTGTGATACGGTGTGAAATTGGATCTCAAAGACTTGCACATGGAAGTGGCTTCCAGAACTTGTCGCAAATGCAATGCATCGTTGGTTACTGAACAAGAAAGGTGTAGTCTCTTCTTGCTAAATTCCAATCTCCTCCATTAGTATCTCATTTCAAATTGCTTTCATGGTACACGTAGTCATTGTTCTTTCTTTTGCCTTGATTTCTCAAAATGCAACTGTAGACTGATTATGGACTTTCCAAAATTCAATGTCTATGCTAATAAATCACATATACATCATATTATACCTACAAATGTTTTCATTCCAAGCTCAATTTTCATTGCCAACTTTGTGTCAATAATATTTGCCTTTGAGATACAAATCAAATTGCAAAATGTTGTGCAAGTGTTGCATGATTGCTTTACAACCAAATTATGTACAATTTTCGTCTTGGAAAAACATATATTAACTCGCCATGGTCACTAAAAAACTGAAATTAATTTGTATATCTGTTCCACAGACTACATAATTTTCTTTGCTATATTTTTTTATGGTTTCTTTTGATTTATTCCATTTTCAGTCTTATGCCAACTATCTTCAAAAATAAATATTTTAGATGGTTTACAAAGTTATTTTGAAATCAAAATAAGTTCTAACAAATGTCTAAATCCAAAGGAATAACACGTCTCCTAAATGAACTTGTATTTGATGATGATGATGATGATGATGTAAATACTTTAGTTTATCACATACTCAATTCCAACAAAATTAAACAATTTCTCCAAGATTGTTGTCTTAGGTTAATATTAAAACATGAATTCTCTACATACTACATATGTTATATGTTATGTTAATATTGCATATATTATTTGTTCTAATCAGAGCTGGATCTCATGTATGTCTGTATGCACACATTTAGATACAAGGATAGTTTTATAGCTCAATTATATCATGAGTATTTAAAGGATCTTCAAATTTTGTATGTACATGATTGTACCTACCTGCATCAATTAGAGATTCTTGGTCAATAATATTTTTCTCAAACTTGTTCTTAGTTAGCATAAATTAATAAAAGTTGCATCAGGTAATATGCCTGAATATCAGTATTTTTTTATTTTTTTATTTTTTTGTTCGTTTCTTAAATACAGAAATAGAAGACTTCGTGTCATGTATTTGAAAACACAGCTACAAATACTTCCTTGTCTTAAGCTTAATTTCATTGTAGATTGAGAAAATATACAGATTTTTTTAATTGTATGACAAATCTTACACGAGTTGAAATACACATCTTATAAACTGTAGAGTTTGTATAACATACATACATGTCATCAATTTACAATAAAATACATTGTTTTTTTGCTTGTATACATCAGTTGACAATCCTTCCCCCACTTGCACATCCAAATTTCCTATGTCCAAGTCTACATACACCACTGTAAACTATCACACACACACACACACACATACATATATATATATATATATGTGTGTGTGTGTGTGTGTGTTCGTTGATTCCATTGATTTAAAAAATCTAGAACTCACATAAGAGTGAATCCATATCACTGATATTTTTGCCAGACCCAATGCTTTGGCCCCACATCCAAGGCCCTCCTGCCCTGCTGAACCAGAATCAGCACCTATAAATAGTACTGAATGAACAGATAGAAGGGAAAAAAAAAAAAAAAAAAAAAAAAAAACTAATAGCCCTTTGCACCAACATATTTTCTCAAACATTGAACCTTCACCCTTGTCTAATAGCTCACGTACATTTCTGTGTGTTGTATTTTATTTTTTTAACCTAAAATTCTGCACTCTTTCTACTAATATTTTATAAGGAGTCCCAACAATTGGTCACATATTGGGCAGCTGTACCCAACATGTGTAAGGTAGCCAACCCATTCTTGGTAACTTAAGCATTTTAGCATATATGCTGTAAGTGTATGAAAATAAATTTATCTTCATGTTTTTTAAGTGTAAGAAAAGAAAAAACATTGCAGTATAGGGGAATAGTAATCAAGAGGATTTCTGGTATTTTTCACACAATTTTGCCTAAGAACAAAATTTATATTAAAGTTTTAGTTGAAGATTCTCTTTGACCCAAATCCAGCACTGATGAATTTTCTGAGTTGGCATGCAATTCTTAATTTCTTACCCAATGAGGCAAAATGTGGAACCATGAGGTGTCAAAACTGATCAGTATTATCATGTCAAGTTGATTGGAAATACACAATCCTATAGGTTGGAAATGGGGGGTGGACGAGTATGGGTTGACTACCTTATATCTATACACTTATGAATTAGATGCAGTAAAAAGGGCAGAGTGCAAACTGGGTACTCTAAACTGCAAATTCACTTCATCCTACGTGGATCATTCCACCGGTGCACGATAGCCAGTTGGATATTTCTCCCGTCCAGGTGTCATCCCTTCTGGAGCTCGATATGAGGTCAGATCTGAGACCGCCTCAGAGTATAAGCCACCTGGATTCTCTTGGCGGGGATGACCTGGCACAATTTTAATTGGAGGAGTGGATTAACTTGTTCCAGCAGGCACTATCGACGGTGGAGCAGCATAGTTGACTCAGCCAGCCTTTTTACCCGCCATGATAAAGTTACTTTATTTGGACGAGCGTAACTCTGCCGCTTTAACGTTTACTCTTAATGGATATGTCATTCGGTGTTGTGTTCTCTTTTACCGGAGGCTTATTTGGATGGATGAAACGTCTGGCACGGTGGTTAAAAGTCGGCAAGGTTTCATTCGTTTGTGAGCTGGCGGATGGTTGTTTCAACTTGTTCCTCAAAACCTGCTGCAATATCTGAAGTATTTTGAGCGAAGGTCCCAATTTGGGATGTTTTTTTGAAAAACAAATGGTGGGTTATTTTTTTTGATAAATATACAAGATGTGGGTAAAGTGAGAGTTTTGTTCTCCACCTTCCAGATCAAATTACAATATTTTGTATTGAATGTTGTTACATATTTGACTAAGTCATGTTAGTTTAATTGTTTGTTCATCTAATTTTAATATTCTTGGTAGCTGGCATGTGGGTCTGGGTTTTCAATTTTGAATGATGAATCTGAATGTTCTAGTAGTTTTGTTGATACATTTGCAACTTTGCACTTGGTTGACCTTCTTTGTCCAAATTTAATGAATGTGATGTTGGGTTGTTTTTGTATGATGTAGTTATTATTACTATTATTATTATTATGCAGCATACAGTAACATGTAAGAATGTAACACAGTTATTACTATGTGCCAAGGAATATTCGTGTCTAGTTTTGTTTGAAACAGATTTACAGAACTGAAGTATGGATCTGGCCCATGCTTAAACATACAAGAAAAAGTTGTAAACATGAAGTTCACTCTATTAGATTAATAACAAATACATCATTGAGATGACAAGTCATACTGATACTATAATCATGTTGCTGCTGTTCTTATTCTATCAATGCTTTTACCCACAAAACATGCATCACTTACACACTCAATTAAGAGTGATGACACAAAATCTAAATAAAAACATCTAAATGATGATGATGATGATTATTATTATTTTCTTCAGAAAATTTAGTATGCGAATAAATAAATAAAAATATGATGAATATTCATTAAAAAATCATAAGTGTATTTTGATGACTAGAAAAAGATGTAGAAAATAAATGAAAAATAAAAAAGAAACCTCCCAATCTTCAAATTCGGAGTGTTTTAAAATGAAGAATAAAATGAGGTCCAGTTGGTCAAAGTATGAGTTGTTTATGTTGGAGAATTGTTGGCTCTGGCATTGACTTACATGATATGGACATGAGATACCAACCAATGACGATGTGACAACTTTTCAACACACCCCCTCTCCCCCACAAAAATTCATTTATTCATTTATCTATTTATTGGTATTTTTTTCAATTTATTTATAAAGGTAACTATCAATATCCATGCAAATTCTCATGTTTTCCAGGGCATTGAATACGAAAGTGAGAATGACGAGGGGACGGTCACGGGATTAGAACACGTTCCCCCCTCTCCCCTTCCTCCCATGGGACGACGAGATTTTGCGTATTTCCACAGTCCACAGCGATGGGACCCACTGTGCCGAGTCGCGGTCACCCAAACCCACGAAGGATAGTAGCCGGCCAAAGCCTAAGCCCAGCAGGATTGCAGTTGGTCCGTCCCATCAGATGCCAGCTGTGTCACAGTCAGAGCTGGGTGGTGCATTCGTTACAGCTGGACCCCTAACCCCACCCCAAGAATCTGCCTCGCAGGGGATGAACAGAGCCACCCCATATGAATCCATCCAGGCATCCCCGAATGAGCTGTCTGTTCGTCGACCCCCCCCCCTGCTCTTCCATCTTCTCTCTCTAACGTTGTGCCTGGTCGTCGTCGCCATGTCCCAGTTCGCATGCTTCCGCTGCTGCAGGCCTCTTTTAGCGATCTGATCCCTGCTGTGCTCCGCTGTCTCTGTTGTGCTCAGCGTGATTTTTGGCCTTCCTTGCTTGGTCATTGCACCTCTGTATCATTGCTCTGCACTTTCCAGGCGCTTCTGCAGTTTCGAGTGGCGGCAGATGCCTCGTTTACGAATGTGTGCATTTGTTGGTTTTTAAGTGGAGAAGGAGGAATCTGGTTACGGGTCGGTTGTTTTGAACAAGGTTGGAAGCGTAACCTTCCAGTGACGAGTTGGCTTTGGAAAGGCGAGGCACATGTATGGGAAGGGAAGTTAGTTGTTCCAGTGCGTCTCATTTTGCGATTAGGTCAGTGACGAGTGAGTGGAGGAGAAGAGTGGACTGGGGACGGCCGGCGGAGATATTGGTTTCGTAATTGTGCATGTTTGGTCATAGGGAGACTTCTGTGAGTCTGTTTGCTGAGTGCGGTAGAGCGATCTGAAGTAGCAGAACTGGGACGTTTGTTTGTTGATTGAGAAGTGTAGTTATGGTGTGTGTGGCGACTTGTCGGTGTTGAATTTGCGTGAATAACGACGGCGTGGTGTAGTTGCTTTCATCTGGAAGTCGAAAAACGAGTGCGTAGCTAGCTAATCGTTTGACGTTGTTTTAACGAGTGCGAAACACTGCGAGAACGTTGTGTCTAATGTTTAGTCGAGAGAACCTTTTAAGCTGATGAGTAGGGTGATGCATTCTACCGTGCTGTGAGTGGTAGCATTTGGGAAGTGCACAAAGAGATAATCCGGTTCTCAGTACAGAAATGCGCATTGTCATGGAAGGTTATGGGATGTTTGTAACGCTTAGGCCACTGGGAAGAAATGAGAAACAGTTTGAATAACAATATTTCGTCAACGTTGTACGCATTTCTCATCTGAAGACGAGTGAGCCCTGCGTCGAAGCTTGTGATAAAGAGCACTTAACTAATGCTTTGAAAGAAAGTCATGGAGCCCCGCCCGTTTATCAGAGTGGCCGTGTGTGGCCTTGGCCTCCGTATTCCGGTTTCTTCAAAGGCGTCTCGAGGGGGTGTACATGCTGCCGCATCTCCTTGTTACTGTGAGATAAGTCTACCAAATTTCCCCTTGGAAACGGTTCCAATTCCGCTGATAGGTTCCACTACTTCTACTACAGGGCCGGATAGAAACAATACTGCAGCTAGTTTTTATCTGGATGAGTCCGCACTGGAGAAATTGTTACTACCTTCATGCATGCGAAGAAAGATACCTTGTCTAGCTGCAGCAGTGTATTCTGGAAAACAGAAGCTGGGTACATTTCGGTTGCCCGTAGGGATCGATTGGGCTGAAGGAAAACGCGCAGTGCTATACAGTGGTTGGACTAGCATTGGAAATGCGAAGGTTGATGGGGGTAAACCAGGTGCAGGCGCAGAGCTTCATGTCGAAGTGAGAGTAGAGGTAGACCCTCGGTACATGTTTCAGTTTGAGAAGGTGACGGCATTGAGTCCTCAGATCATCCAGGTGTCCAGCAAGAACAAACAATCAATCTTTAGCTGCAAATTCAGCCGCGATAAGTTATCTCGTTGCCGGTTAGTATTCTTCTCTCTGCAATGCAATTCTTTTCTAGCGCTCTTGATTATACGCTCGTTCTGACAGTTACATTCATCTGGCACATGTGTGGTGATCATAGTGGCAACCGCTTACTCATTGTCTTCCCTCGCAGCTCGTAACACGTTGTATCTTTGTGCTTTGTCACCGCAGAGTTGGTACTAGTGATATCTCGTCAAGCAGTTCTTCATTAGAAGGTAGGGAGAAGCGGAAGGAGAGGAAAGGGTGGCTTGTCATGATACACGACCTGTCTGGGTCTCCAGTTGCAGCGGCATCCATGGTTACACCCTTCGTGCCGTCAGCAGGATCTGATTATGTCGCCCGTTCGAATCCAGGAGCATGGTTGATTCTGCGTCCGGAGTCTTCTGGCGCTGATAGTTGGAGACCTTGGGGCCGCTTAGAGGTTTGGAGAGAGAGGGGTGGGAAGGGTATGGGTTCTCGGTTCAAGCTTATGGCTGAAGGTGGAGGGGTGCCAGGCGTTGGAAGTGGTGTGTTGAGTTCGGAGACCTTCCTGTCTGCTAAGAAAGGAGGAGAGTTTACTATTGACGCTAGGAGGTTCAAGATGGAGGTCCCTTCTGGAACTTCTCCAGCGGGGGTTTCTAGAGCAAGCAGTTTGAGCCCAAAAAGCAGTGGAGAGCTGTACTCCGGTTCAGGATTACATGGCGTGGGAGAGTTTGTAATGAGCTGTGGAGTGCGAGGTGATAGAGACTCCACCAAACCGTTAGTACAAGTGGCCATGCGTCATGTTAGCTGTGTGGAAGATGTTGCTGTTTTCATAGCACTTGCAGCTGCTATGGATCTGAGTGTCGATGCTTGCCAACCCTTCAGGCGTAGGCTGCGAAAGGAGCTTTCAGAGGCCTTGTCCTCTTCCTGAAATGTGGAAGACATGATTTTTGGTAGCTACACTTAGAAGCAGACGCTTAGATGCCTGCACCTAGTGTCATTGAAGTCGAGATTACTTGCCCCCTCCTGGTATTAGATAACTTGGGCGTTGAGAGCTTCGTTTAAGTTTGAGAACCTGGTCAGACTACATGTGCTTTGACCTTTGTATTTAATTGTAATTGTAGGGGCGTAGGGTAGAGAAATACCCCTTTTGTGGTGTAAAATAGTGTAACCATGGTTATTTACATGAAGGCTGCTGTGCCCAGGCCTTCTGTATTATACAAATGGTAACTCTTAGGGTTCATGACTGATGCTCAGCCCTCAGCACTTGCATGTGTCCCCTGAAAGTCTTACCTCAACTAATAGATTTAACAGATCTTCAGGTTTTGAGTTGTGGAATTGGAAGCAGCATTTCCAAGCAGAATGGAAGTCAACCACAACGAACTAACTCTATTGACTGGTCAGTGAATCAATGAGATATTATATATTTTCTCAGTGAGACCCAATGTGAAATTGAACTGAAACTGAACCATGATTACGCATTCCTGAATCGCTATCTTATCTCCCACAGGTTAAGAGTTCCAACAAATAGTGGAGTGAAATGTTCAAAACCTCTACTCCCATACACTAGAAGTTTTTTAAGTCTCCATGCAATTGCACAAGTACTTGAGGTGTTGAATTTGGACGATTAATCTTGAAACTTATCTGCCACTTCTGCGTCCATGAGAACTCTTCGTTAAAGGTCCAAGATTTAAAGATTTTCAAAGATTAGAAGCAAGTAAAGTAACTCACAAAACCTACTTCACAGAAAATCAAAGTAGAAGATGATGACCAAGTAAAATGAAGAAAACAAGTTGATTCTCTAAGCTCTTTGCTGAATGTAAGTAAAGAGAAACAAAGATGTATAGATAAAATTTGAGAGGCGATAAAGGCAATCCTCTTGACTGCAAGAAACAAAATATTATCATAATCCAAAAAGGTTTGGATAATGTGAGAGAAGAATATTGCCACAAAATCAGAGAAGAAATAGGAATCATACCATAGAAGTTCCACCATAGAAGAGGTTGTAAAAGGAATGCTAAAGATATAAGTGAAAAAGAAGGAAAATACAAGTGAAAAAGAAGTAAAGCATATTTTATGTAAAGTTAATAATCCAAAGAAACAAAAGCTCATAGAGTTAAAAATGAGAAATTTTATATTTTTTAAAGATGTTGAGCATTGATACAAGATTAATTGAGTTGAAAAATATAAAGAGGATATTAGAAATTTCTATGTTTTCATTAAAAAAAACGAACAAAAGATTGATTAGATGTTTTGTCTTTTTAAAAATCATTTTTCACAGAAGATCACAAATTTGAATCAAAGATTGACTGTAATAAATAGGAAATTTGAAAAAACTGCCACCTCAATTTTTCTTTACAAGAAGTTGAATTATCTAATAATACAGTTTGAATGTGCTAATTTTTCATTTTTATATTAATTCATATAAGAGTTATTAACTTGTTTATAGATCAAAATTGTAAAAAGAAGTGACTTCTTTGTATTGAAATCAAAGAAGTAGATTGAAAAGACCATAATAACTTAGTGTCTAAAACCACATGAATCCTTATCTATTTCTAAAACTACATGAATCCTTATCTACTTCTATTTTTAGAACTTCTTCCAAGGTTTGTTTTAAAAAACAAGACAAAATGGAAGAAACAAAAAAAATTTTGTACTATTTACAATGTTGACTTTGGATTATGTGTAAGTAAAGACACTAGAAGAAATACAAATCCAAACTCTTTTCTTATTGATCCAAATTATTTGTAACATTAGAAGATGTCTTTAAAACTAAGCATTTAAAGGAGCTTTTAGTAAGTAGTAAGATTGATCATAATAACTTAGTGTCTAAAACCAAACTACATGATAGGGCCTCTTATTTGCTAAATTAGGTAAAATTAGTAGAATCAAATAAAAAAAATCAATTGATTATTGTATAAAATATTTATTTAAAGACATATTATTTTTATAAATTAAAAAAATGATGATATACACATCAGCTATTCAATTTTTTAAAAAAATGGATAACAATTATGTTAAGATAGCCAATAATATTGTCAAGAGAACAATATGTAATATTTAATGTAAATTCTACAAACTTGTGGTTGTGTCATTTGATCTTTAATAGACAATAATTATCTTTTACTACTCAAAAGAATTTATTAATCTATAAAAATTTTAAAAATTATATATTCTAATACTTTAATGAATTTTTTATAAGAATAAAATAATAAACTTTATATATATATATATATATATATATATATATAAAATTTTGTATGAGATGAAAAAATAGAGTATTATTTATAATTTTAAAATTTTATTTTTTTTAAAAATATACATTCATAATATAATATAAAATTTAAATAAAGAAGAAAATTTTATTATAAGAAGTAAAATTCTATAAAAAAATTAAAATATATAAAAATAATAAATAATAATAAAATTTTAAATTTATAAATTACCATGGTGAGTTTTTGAATTTTTATAAGGATAATGAGAGACTTTTTATATTTATAACAATATGTCATTGAATATTTGTAGGATTTACATTGGATTCTTTTTGGAATTTATCTAGAAGTTTTAAAAATTATTTCTTTATAATTTTTTTAGGATTTTTTTTATTTAAAATCTCTATTTTAGGATTTCATTTTCGTTTATTTATATTTTATTTATGATTTCTTTAATATTAATTTAAGATTTTTTTTATGATTTTAAAGAATGAATTAAAATTTAATTAGAATTGTTAAGGTTGAATTAGAATTTATTTACATTTTTATTAGAATTTTTTGAATCTTGTTGCAATTTCTAATTTATCTTCCACATCCAAGTACTTGATACATTCTGAAGTAAGACAATCTATTATTCAACAATATTGCTTATGTTTATTGAGGATCACCAAATCTTAGATTAATTACTACTACTTAGAATTTAATCTTAATGTATTTTTATACTGTAAATGAAAGCAAAGACTTAAAATAAGTAATCTCAATGGTGGCAATATTCAAAATAATCTAGTTTTTGGTTGTACAAGGCAAAATAGGAATAAATGATTGTAGAATCTATGTTAGATGTATTATAATCTCTATAAGTAAAGGGTATTAGAAATGAAAGTCATCTTACTCTACATTTCGTTTTCTATACAACCTTACTAATGTTAAGTATTAAGACTTTGTTTTGTTTTGTTTTTTTTTGTTTTTTTTTTTCAATAGCTTAAAGGTCTATTCACATTTTCTTGTGATTTTTCATGTTTTTTAAAGTCTGAGTGGTTATGAGAAGTAGATCATCTTAATAATCAAGATGTTAGGATTTAGGATCTCTTAACTTTTAAATTCAAGTTTAAATTTAAATTTAAATATAGATTTATATTTACTTGTATTATAATACATTTTAAGTTTGGTGTTAGTTTTATACATAAAATAAACAATTTAGAATACTAATGTTGTAATTTCTTATTGAATTAGATTTTGGTACATTAAATTTGTAGGTTTAGAAGTTAAAAAAATTTATGATGTTTAAAAGACCTCTTATGGTACTAAGAAGTAAATTTTGAATATAAAAGTGATTTAAGGATTGAGAATCTAATTTGAAACAATTTAATTATTCATATGACTTGTAAAAGATATAAGATGTAAAATTAAGAGTATTTCGACAAAGAAAATATTGGTTTGTGTAGAAAGAAAGCAATTTGAAATTTTGAAGCAATAATACCTTCTTGCTGATTTTAGACTCCTTCTCTTGGTCTATTTTTATATATTTATTTTTTTTAGAAATGGCTTCAAATAAAAATGAATGCTTGGAGGTCATGAGAAGTTTAGAAGTGACAATTTCTACTATTGGATGGTAAAAATGGAACTTTTATCAATTTATTTTGATCTTTCAGATATTATGGATAGAAGTGAAGAACTTTCAAGCATGCATATTGATATGTAAAAGAAGAAATAATTTAAATGTCATAAGAAGAAGGCTTTTAGCTTAATTGCAATGAATATTTGTAAAACTAATTTTTCTAATATTGATGCTTGCAAACATCTAACAAAACATCAAAGACTCTCTCCAATATCTATGAGAGCAAGAACTTGTTTTATATTTTTTATACAAAAGAATATTCTTCAATTCCAAGATGGAAGAAGAAAACCTCATGACACACATCAATAAGGTGAATTATCTTACAAATCAACTTATAATTGTAGATATGTATATAGAAGATATAGATGTTGTCATGATTCTACTTATGAGTTTTTTGAAATCTTACAAATATCTAATTATAGTATTTATGAGTTTTTTAGAATCTTACAAATATCTAAATATAGCATTAAAATCCATCAAAAAAAATCCACAATAAACCACATGAGAGCAAGACTTAGCTATGAAGTGATTAAAAAGAAAGATAAAGAACTGCAAAGTATAGATTCAATATTCTATGCATGATAATGCAATAGAAGCTACTCAAATCAATAGGATAATATCAATGTTTTTATATTTGTGGCAAACTAAGATATTTTGCATGTAATTATTATAAAACTAAAAAGATAGAGAAGAAAAATGCAAAAAAACATTTAAAATAAGTATAGAAGATAAGATTATATATTTATGGCTATAAGAAGACCTCAAAGATTATTATGTCAAGATAGATTTTGGATTTAGGTTGTTCAAAAGTGTAGCATTTTATAAGTATTGATTTGATACTTATGAGGTTGTTTTGATAATAAATATAATTTTAGTAGATAGCGGCACATGTGAATCCATTTGAATCAATTCTATTATGATAGAGGTTGTTTTACATGGATGAACTAATTAGATCAGATTCAAAGATGTCTTCTATATGCGAAAGATGAGCAAAACCTACTTTTGATGAATAAGCTTATGATAGAAGGCTTTATGATTTATTTCAACATGATAAGATATTTTATAAAAGCATTAAATAGAAATATAGTTGCCATGAGCTTTAGAAAGAGAATTTATATTATTTCAATTATAAAAAGATTAATGGAGTGAAGTTAATTATATTTTTTGAATTTTCACAAGATAATAATAAGTTGGATGTATGACATCTTTGTCCTGGTAATTTAGATGTGAAGAATATGAAAGAATTCTAATCTATAATAAGTAGCTTAGATCTTAGTAATACAAATCAAAATGCAATGCAACCTACATATGAAGGATGTATACAAGGCAAACAATAAAGAACATTTTGTTTAAGTAGAGTAGTAATATATTCTACTAAGTTATTGGAAATTGTCTATTTTGATGTATGTAGAATTATAAGACCACAAGTATATCAAGTTTTTTTTTACTTTCAATAATAAACTTTTAAGATTGATTTGGATTTACATTCATAAAGCCAAGATTGAATGCTTTTGGAGGTTTTAATAGCTAAAATCTCTTAAGAAAAAAACAAAGTGGGTCAAATATTAAGATAGTGTATCCAAAAAATTAAGATGAGTACATAT